AACCCATGTTGTTCAATGGTCACCCATAATTACAAATTGTGATGAGGGGCAATGAAGGAAACAAACAAAGACAGGCATTATAGTGAAAGAATTGCTTTAGTCCAGGTGGTCAGGGAGGGCCTCTCCTGGAGGTGACATTTAGCTGGGCCCTGAAGGATGAAAAGCATCAGCCATGGGAAGAGCAGGAACAGCAGTCCAAGCAGAGGGTGAGAACACTCTCGATGACCGGTGGGCTGGGGCGCAGTGAGGGGAGTGGCAGGAAGTGGCAGGAAGACAGCAGAGCTGACCTGGCAGGTCTTATGGGCCAGGACTAGGTGTGTAGATAATTCTGGTGCCTTGTGGGGAGCTGCTGCTGAGTGTAAGCGGGGTGTGGAGGGTCTGACTCATTCTCATCGGATCACGGAGGATCGGTGTGCGGGGAGATCCATTCAGAGGCTCTCACTGCGTCCGTACCATCCAGGTACCATCAGCTCCCTTTCTGGAGTAGATTGAGTCCCAGAGACAGCAGGCACCTGCCCGAGCCCACACACCTGTCGGAGGTGCGGCTGCCCAGGTCTGTGTCTTCGGGTCTCATTGTTCTCTTCCCACTTCTGTGCGAGACTCAGATGTTGGCAGGATGGGCGCCTTCCCAGCGGAGAAGCTAGGAGCAGCGTGGCCCGTAGGGCACCAGGCTCTGTGGATGGCCGCCGCCCCAGGCCTCTGTGAGAGGGGAAGTGGCTGGTGGAAGCTGAGGCCCCAGCACAGCCCGCAGTCACGCGGTACAGCTGAGACCAGGAAAGAGCCATGTGTTTCTGCCCCTCTCTGGGCCTCGGTTTCCTCAAATATCAAATGAGGTGGTTGAGCCGGATGCTTTTCCAGCCATCACTTCATCCAGCCATCACCCACGGAGTACCTGGCTTCATATCGGAAGGTTACTGTCCAGCCAGGTAGTTATAAGTTCATTAAGTAAGTAATTAAAACAGTCACCTCAAACCTGCATGCGGCCTTAAGGCAGACTTCCCAGAAGAGGTGATACCTGCACTGAGTCTTTTTTGCCTTATGATAAAGGGAGGGCGTTCCAGGTAACGAGGGCAGGATCGCCAAAGGCCAGAGGTATGGGGGGGTCTGGGGGTGGGCACCGTATGCCGTTAACGTGTAGACCATCAGGCACAAAGCTTGGGGTGGTTGGCACTGAGAGACGGGCATGTGCCAGTCCTGGTGTCCTGGGGGATCTTGAGGAGTTTGGGGGGGGGGACTATTGTGAATTTATTTTAAATAGCAGTTTTATTGTGATATAATTCACATACCATACAATTCCCCTATTTAAATGGTACAATTCAGTGATTTTTAGTGTATTCATAAGTGTGCAATTCTCACCACAGTCAATTTGAGAACATTCTCATCACCTCGAAAAGATACCCCATTACCCACAAGCGTTGCTCCCCATTCTCTGCTCTCCGCAGCTCCTGGCAACCACTAATCTACTTTCTGTCTCTATGGATGTGCTTATTCGGGATAATTTCATGTAAGTCCAGATGTGGCCCATTGTGGCTGCCTTCTTTCACAAAGCACAATGTTTTCAAGGTTCGGCGTGTTGTAACATGGATCAGTCCTTCGTTCCTTTTTACGGCCAAATAATATTCCATTGTAAGCCATTGTGGATTTTTACGCGACACAGCAAGGTTTGCGCTTTGGAAAGCTGGCGTGGAGGGTGGGCAGGAGGTGGCCAGATGGCCAGAAGAAGCTAAGGAGTGGGCAGGAGGGCAGCAAAGAAGAGCCAGGACAGGACACTGCTGAGGAGGGAAGACGCAGTGATTGATTGGCTGCAGGAAGGAGAGGGCGGGACGACAGAAGAAAGGGTTTCAGGTCGCCAACAGATACAGAAAGCCCAGGGGAGGGCCAAGGGGTGGCTGGGTAGCACACCCAACAAGGGGAAGCTCCTGGAGGAGGCAGCCTAGGGAGTCTCAGAGGGGGCCAGGACACGGTGATGGGAGAGGACAGCCGGGAAAGCGGTCCAGATGGAGGGGCTGGCACAGCACACAGGGAGAGTGGGCAGCCGCCCACCAGCCGGGCCCAGGAATCGCCAACAGATGGAAGAGGCATGCTAAGCCGGGCAGGCTCTCACCTGAGGGGGAGCCAGGGGGATCCTGGCCTTGGAGCCAAAGCCCTTTGGCATCTCTCAGGATGGTCCTAGACCCTCACCGGAGCCCTGTGCCCCATTCTACAGCAGAGAAAACTGAGGCTCAGAGCAGTCAACTGCCCGGCTAGAGCCAGGGCTATCCCTTTATCCAGCTGACAGGGAGAGGGGAGAGGCGAGACCGGGGAGGGCAAGAGGCTCAGGGGCCCCAGAGGCAGTGCAGCAAAGTGGAGAAAGCCCTGGACAGGTGCCCAGAGCAGAGGCTGCCAATCCCTGGTCAGCACTCATGGGCCGTTGACGCAATGCAAAAACCATAAAGGTGGTGTAGTGTGGTGGTTAGGGAAGTGGCCCCTGGAGTCGGACCACCTGGGATCGAATCCTGGCTCTGCCCTGTAAGCCCACATCCTCGGAAAGTTGCTTCACCTTGGAGCTTTCGTTCCCCCATCTGAAAATGGGGGCGATAACATCACCTCCGTCACCGCCCTGGGTGAGGCTTGGATGAGTTATTACGAGTTAAGTCCTTAGAACAGTGCCAGCATTTCCTAAGTACTCAATAAATGTCGGCCGTTTCCTATTTATGCGCTGGAGCGCTGTCTCCCCGTCGGTGCGTGGAAGCCCTAGTAACTCCCTGGAGGCACTCACCGCCATCCTTGCCGGTGTCACTGGCCTGGTGAGTGTGTTGAAGTCCTGTCTTCCCCTCACGTGACAGCTCCTTAAGGGCTAGGCTGGAGCCGGTTCTCCTCCCAGATCCCCACAGGGCCTAGTCAGGGTGGCATCGGTAAGTGGTTGTTGATTAGGATGGTTTCCACCTTCTGGAAGCTTCCTCCAAAGGCTGGCAAAGTAGGGCCCCCAGGGTGGGGGTGCCATTTTTCTAGCGACAGGCCTTAAGATTGTAACAGCAGCCCCTGTCCCCTCCCAACCCTAGGCCAGTACTGGTCATCGGTTGCAATCCCCATGGCCACTTTAGGAGGTAGCTCCTCTTACCAGTAAGAAAACAGCAGGAGGCGAAACAGCAGATTTGGTAGTTGAGCCCAACAGTTTAATAATGCTGGAATTGTTCTAGGCATTTTTCCCTAAATTAACCAAATATCATCCTCACCATGACTGCAGGAGATAGAGATTATTGTTCCCATTTTATAGATGAGGGAACAGCTTAGGTGGCTTGCCCAAGGTCAACCCTGCTGGCCCAGGTGGTGCTGGCATTTGCCAGGCAGCCTGCAGGCTCACCGCCACTCTTCACTGCATGACCTCCAAAGCCCAAGCTCTTCGCAAGTAGCAGGCAGTTTCTAGAAGTGTTTCTATGGAGTGTCTGCTGAGGGCTGGGCTCTGAGCTAGGCACCGGGGAACACACTGTGACTTAGACACGGCCCCAGTCCTCAGGGAGCCGAGAGGATGGACAGGAGACCCCTTGGTGAATGATTGTGGCCAGGGAGTAAAGCTCTCTGAACTCAAAATATCTTGGTACCAAGGAGAATGGGTTCTCCGAGCTGGAGCTGTTGAAGGGCTGGGGAGGGGTGTTGCTAAGACTGGGACTTGAAAGATAAGCTTGATGCCTGGGACTGGAAAAACGATTTGTACGTGAGCCATTTATACATGAGGAAAGTGACGCCCCGAGAGGTGGGGTTGCTTACCAAAGGTCGCGCAGTACCCTGGCACAGGCTGTGGTCCACGTGACAGCCCCTGGCCCATGGACAGCGTAGCCACACCTCGTCCCGAAGAGGAACTTACCCCTTGCAAAGCTCTTCCCTTGTCCACCTTCTCACTTACACCTTCTATGATCTCCCCCGAGGCACCACAGCAGAGCTGGGATTAGGAACCCAGTAAGTGAAGAAGAAACAAGCCAGGACAGGGGCGGGGCCTAGAGTCCAGGCCCCCTGATTCCCAGCCCAGGGCCAGGAGGAAGAGTAGGGTGGATTGGCACATGGGCCCACACAGGAGTGGCCACCTCTTGTAGAACCTAAGCCCTGAGCTGCAGGGCCTGAACCCAAATCCTGAGCATCCCCCAGAGCAAGAAAGAAAGCCAAAGACCCTGGGAGAGCGCAGATGGCTGACTGCCCACCAAGCGTAAACACTGCCCTCCTCCGGCGGTCCCTAGTACTGCATACCCCTTTATTTTAAATTGATCAAACACCTACTGTTACACTAGCTACTATTCATTGTGCATCTATACTGTGCAAAGCTCCATGTCATGTGCTTTACACACTTATGCCAAATGCTCACCATGGCCTGCAGAAATGGGCTTTAAAATCCTAATTTACAAATAAGGAAACAGTCTCAGTATGGTTAAGCTGCTTGTCTAGGGTCGCACAACTAGTAAAAAGCCAAGCCAGGACTCAAACCCAGGCCTGTCTGCTTCCAAAGGCAGAGTTCTTGCCTGCTCTGCCACATCGCCTCTCTACATGCCCTGCACTGTGCTAGGGCTTTTCTACTATAACGTCCTCATCTCAACCGTCTAGAACCCAGGACTCCAGTTCCAGGAGTCAGGGCCCAACCAGCCATCGGTAAGCAAGGCTGGGCCACAGGCCCTGCGGCAAACCTCTTCAGAGTGCTCAGACTAAGTCAGGGTTGGTCCTAGAAGCTGCAGTACAGCGTCCCCCGGAGTAAGGAAGGAAGGCCTGCCAGGGGCCCCTGCTGAATGCATAGACAGCGTTAGAGACAAGAAAGCAGGTAGCCTGGAACCTCCTGGGGACAGCTAGGATTGCCTCATTGGAGAGTGGAGGCTCCCCAAGAACTTCAGGAGGTGGTGTTTCTCAGCAGTGATGCTGTGTGGCCTTCCACGAGGCTACGTGGCCTCCCGTGATGCTGCGTGTCCCCTCTGTGAGACTGCATGGTCCTCTCTGTGCCTCCTGGCTTACTCAGTGACTTTCTCTGTCTTCTCTCCTAGCTTGTCCATCGGGAACCTTTAAGGCTAACCAAGGGGACGAGGCCTGCACCCATTGTCCCATCAACAGCCGGACCACTTCCGAAGGGGCCACCAACTGCGTCTGCCGCATTGGGTACTACCGAGCAGACCTGGACCCGCTGGACATGCCCTGTACAAGTATGTCGGGGGCCCCTCAAAGGCGATGTTTGAGTCCATAGTCACCTGCAGAAAAGCCCAGAGCGAAGGCTGGGCTGCTGTCTTTCCTGAGCGAGGAGTAGCCAGTATCTGGGGGGAGAAATGGAACATTTCTTGCGAAAGAACCATCCTGGGGTTGTCCCCGGGGCGGTTGTGCTGCCAACGTGCAGATATCACAGAGCTGGCGTCCGGTTCCCTACCTCCTTCTGCTAAGTCACATGGAGGATGAAGTCAAGGTCTTGATTCGCAAAGGAACAGAGAATGGCAGGATTGGCAGAGGAAGAACCTACGCAGGTGGTGTCTGTGGCAGAAAAGGCTGCCCAGTGTTCTGACCTGGCAGCGGCTGCCCGAGTCACAGGCCAAGGTCCTCTAAGAAAGGGTGACTACGAGGGCATTGTCACAGCTGCTGTATCAGACAGGAATGGCATTCAGTCGCAAGTACCAGAGAGCCGACTCCAGTGGCATGAACCATAGGGACGTAACTCTCTCACGGAACAGAAGCCCAAAGATAGCAGTCCTGGGATAGTACAATAGATCCATGAAGCTCTCTGGAACCTGCTTTTTCTCTCTGCTCTGCCACTCATGGCATATGGTTTCTATCTGTCAGGTCACTTCATAGTCCAACATTGCTGTGAAGCTCCAGCCATCGCACATGTCCTAGGCAGCAGAAAGGAGAGGGATAAAGGGATGCTCTATAGCTGTCTCCTTTTAATAAAAAATCCTAACCTATAACTTCCGCTATAATCAGTAGCCAGCAGTTCATTGCAGGAGGCTAGGAAATATAGTCTCTTAGTTGGACTTATTGCCACCCAAATGAAATCAGCTTCTGCTCTAAGGAAGCAAAGAAAATAGCTATTGGGTGGGTATAACCCTCATTGCAAAAAGACTGTCCCTAGTAACAAACACCAAGGAGGTTGGCATCCAGGGAGAAAGGTTTAAGCACATGTGCAGCAGAATGAGAGTTATATTTTAGAGACGTCTCTCTGGTGGGTGGAGAGGAGAAAGTATGTTGGGGAAGCCTTTTGGGAGGTGTGGGCTGGAACCAGGGCAGAAGCAAAGCCCCACAGCCCCCATTGACTGGCGCCCCTCCCCCTCCCCAGCCATCCCCTCTGCACCCCAGGCCGTGATCTCCAGCGTCAACGAGACCTCACTCATGCTCGAGTGGACCCCGCCCCGCGACTTGGGAGGCCGTGAGGATCTCGTCTACAACATCATCTGTAAGAGCTGCGGCTCGGGCCGGGGCGCCTGCACCCGCTGCGGGGACAACGTGCAGTATGCGCCCCGCCAGCTGGGCCTGACTGAGCCACGCATCTACATCAGTGACCTGCTGGCCCACACCCAGTACACCTTCGAGATCCAGGCCGTGAATGGCGTCACCGACCAGAGCCCCTTCTCGCCTCAGTTCGCCTCTGTGAACATCACCACCAACCAAGCAGGTAAGCGCTTTCAAGGCAGGCTCCGGGGGCAGCGCTGCGCCGCGCTGTGCCAAATGGGTTTCCTGCCAGCCCTCGTTAAAGACGCCCTCACACCTGTGGTTTCCTCTTTTCAAAGGCTGTGCGTGTGATCCAGCCACCTGGGAGAGTGTTAGCATTGTAGTGGTATTTATCATAATTGCTGTCACTTGTTGAACGTGTATTATTGAAGGCGAAAGTGAAGCTGCTGTAACAAAATGGCGCGGTGTTGGGGGGCTTAGAGAACACAGAACTGCATTTCTCTCTCACGTAGGAGTCCAGGGGTGAGCAGCCCAGGGTAGCAGTGTGGCTCTGACCTATTCTCCAGGTGGGCTTCTTCCGTCTTGTGGTCTCTGCGCCCTCGTGGCCAAGGCAGGGTCGCAGACATGACTGTGCCCCAGCCTGCAGGAAGGGCAGGGAGAGAAGACCCGGGCAGTGACAGTGTGTTAAGCACGAAAGCTGAACGTGGCCCCCATCACTTCTGTGCACCTTCCACCGGAAGGAACTTGGCCCTGGGGTGTCACCGAGCCTCATAGGAGGCTGGGAAGTGTAATCTCTCGCAGCCTGACTTAAATCCGTCACGGTGAAAGGGGGGAGACAGACTCCAGTGGACATCTAGCAGTTCCCACAGGTGCTCTCTTTGAACGTTCAGCCACTCCAGTCTAACTCCACCAAAACTCCTCTCCCTGCGCTCACCTTTCCTCATCCTTCCTGCGACCCCGCGTCGCCCTCCACCTTCCGCCCTGCTTTTCTCCACAGCAAAGAAAGTTGCCAAAGAATGCAGTTTCACCTCCATCCCCTAGCCCTTCTTCAGTCCATTTCACATAGGTGTCCAGCCCCTTTTCCCCTCAAAGACCACTGTCCTCAGGGTCACCTGAGACCTCTGTGTGGCCTGGTCCGGGAGACAATGGCAGCCTCATCCCCCAAACCAGGGCCATGGGAGATTTTCAAGGACCTCATGGTACCCATGGGTAGAAACCTTCGCGGCTGGCCCTGTGGATATGCCCCTCAGTTACTCACGCAGCAATCCTTGCCCAGCCCCGGCTGTGACGTGACCCTGTCCAAGGAGGGGCCAAGGGAGGCCGGGCTCCAGGAAACGGACGGAGTGTCCGGGTGCAGGGAGGCTTGCTGGAGGACGCAAGTGTAAAGGCCCAGCAGAAATGCGAAGGGAGTGAGGGGAAGACATGGAATTCAAGAGGCGGGGAGGGCGTGCACAGGAGAGAGGGCCACCAGGTGGGGCGTGGCCGAGGGGTGCTCTGCGCGCTTGACTTCGCTGCATCCCCTGGTGTCCTTGAGAAGGAGGCCTCTCTGTCCCCATTTCACAGACGGTGCTCAGAAAAGCGGAGTCATAAAGCAGGAAGGAGAAGAGGCAGGGATTCCCTAGGTCTGACAGACTCCAGTGCTTGGGCTAAATCCAGGGCACGTCCAAGGGACCGTGAGTGTGACTGTGGGCCTGACTGTGCGTGTGAGTGAGTATATTTGGGGAACGTGTGGCTATGTCGTTGTTTCGGTGACCATGTGTTTGTGATTGTATATGACCTTGGTGTGTGGCTTCTCACTGATACATGCATTCATGAGCATGAGTTTGTTTGCCTGAATGTGGTCTGCCTGTCTGTGTGTTTGTGTCTGAGGAGGAGTGTGGTTTTGTTTGTGAATGTTTGTGGTGTTGCTGTGGCTGAGAGGGCATGTTTTTGAGCGTGTGCCTGCAGTTCTTAAAGGCACCATGGATGCACTTAAGTCCCGCTCAGATTGGGGTGCGGATGGAGCTGACTCAAGGTGGGCAATCTGAGAGAACCTCAAAAGACAGCAGCTGTTGGCAGAGGCACCTAACAGACTGTGGAGCCGCAGCTGCGAGCCTCTCAGATTGACAAAGCCCTGAGGTAAGGAAGTCGGGCTCCCAACGGGAGTGGAGGGGTGGGAACTCTTTTCAATGGGGAGAAGCTAGAATTCCCCAGAGCCCCTGAGTTTCTTTCCCTGGCTGGGGGCGGGGGGGCCCTTCCCAGCATCCGCTTGAGAGCCCTGGGGTGGGGCTGCCTGCTCCAGAAGCCGCAGCACATCAGCAGCAAGGATGGGGTCTGGGCTGTGGCATGGAGCCTTCTTGTCTGCAGCTGGAGGCTCCCAGAGAAAAGCGATGGCGCTGAGTGGATATGAGGGGCTTTCAGAGAGGAGGTGCCAGGGTAGCCCCCAGGATTGAGGGGCAGAAGCCATGAGAAACAAGCACTGGGTTAGGAACAGGGGGCCTGCGTCTGAATCCCAGCTTTGCCATTCATTTACTGGATGATCTCAGTGTATTAGTCAGTTATTGCTGCCATAACGCTGCATAACAAAGCCACCCCAAAACTCAGTGGTTTACAACAATAAACATTTATTTTTCTCACTCACTGGTCTGTGGGTTGACTAGGGTTTAGCTAATCTGCACAGGATATGCTGGGCAGGACTCCAGAACGTGGACTGAATTCAGTCTTCCATGTGTCCCCTCGTTCTCGTTGGACCAGCAGCCGCTCAGTCTTATTCCCCCCCACCCCCCATGGTAAACGGTGGGAACACAAGTGGCCAGGCGAAGCCATGCCACAGAGACGCCTGTCTCTGCTTGTGGTGCAGTCACCCACAGTAAATGAGCCCTGCAGAGTTACTCCGCAAAGGGCGTGGGTGCATAATCCTGTCACAGGGAGAAAGAACTAAGATAACTGATCCAGCCCATCCCTCTCCTGAAAATCACTCCCTCTCCCTGGGCCTCACTTTCCCCACCAAATTGTGCATCAGCACTATACAAGAGCTTTTCAGGATACAGGTTATAGGCTCTGCCCCAGACCTGCTGAATCAGAGCCCCAGGAGTAAGCTAAGAATCTGCATTTTTACCAAGTGCCGCAAGTGTTTCTTACCATCGGACAAATTTGGGAAACTCAGGTCTAAGGGATTCTAAGCCCCTGTAAGCCCTTCATGCCCCTTGACAAGCCCCACTCTCATGGATGCACAGAGCCCACGGGGGACTGTGCAGCCACACGTGTCCTCGCCACATGATCCCCCGTTGCCAGATGAGGAAGTGCAAGCCCTTCCCAGGGAAGCAGAGTCATTTATACTAAGTCCCAGTACTAAATGGCCTCAACTAGGATTTAAACCCAGGATCATGTAACTCTAAGTCTACACTGGAGAAGACACAGTTCCTGTCCTTGCAGATTTATGTCCTGGTTGGGAAGATGAGACATAGACCAAGTCTGCATACAAGTTGGCATGAGTAAAGGCCCAAGGAGGGGTCAGGGAGGTGAGGGAGATCACAGGCAGGAGAAATCATGTCTTCCTGGGGAAGAGGAGAAAGGCAAGCCATGGAAGACTTCTGGGAGGAGGAGGCATTTGAGCTTGATTTTGAAGAAGGAAGAGGCTACTAACAAGCAGGGAAGGATACGTCCCAGGAAGGGGAAGTACGGGAGGGAGGAGGGAGGGAGAGTTCTCCTTTCTGTTCCTCCTAAGCATCAGACTCCTCTGCCACAGGGCCTTTGCACATGCTGTTCCCTCTGCCTGGATGGCTCCGTGCCAACCTCAAACCTTCCTTCAGACCTAATTCATCTTCATGGACCTTCCTGACCTGATCACATGCCCCAGCACCATGGCCCTCAAGTTCCTGTGGCTGAGTTTTTGCCTTATGTCTTCGGTCATTTCCTTCCTGTCTGTCTCCCTCACCGTCACCACTCAGTAGTACACGGTGGGTCTGCTTTTCCCCACCATGGTTTTCCTGGCACTTAGACAGGGGTGCACTCCAGTGAATGTTCAGTGGCCATCGGCAGCAGGGCCCAGGGAAGCATGGAGTGAGGTGGGGTGGGGAGAAGTACGATAAGGCTGGGAAGCAAGACTGGGGACTCGATTCCAGACAAATGCATTCAGTGGTAGGATTTAGTCAGACCCTAAAATTCAATATATAAATACCTTGCTCATTGCCTTAAAAGGAAAAAGTTATTTCTTTGGGGCAAATGACTGGGCCTTGCTTGCAATCCCTGACCTTCACCAGGGTCAGAGCTACCTTCTGACTTCACGAAGCTGTCATACCGTCTCTGAACCGTACCCTGCCATTCCCGAAGGCCTTTCTGCCCCATATTCACGGGTCTTCTCAGGGGCCCCCCGAGGAAGGAGACTCGGGCCAGAGCTTTGGAGAAGTCGAACAGATTCCCAGGTTCACTCAGCTGGGAAGGGGCAGACCCAGAATTCAGCCTGGCTCTCCAGGGTCTGTGGCTCCTCGACTCACACGGCCAAGACCAGAAAGGGACGGGAAGGGAGGACGAGCCTCAGGGCGGGTGTCAGAGGAGACTCTCTGCGGAGGTGGCATGTAAGCTGAGAGCTGAAGGAGAAAGCAGAGACCACCGTGCAGACTGGGTGTGTACAGCATGTCAGTCACGTGGGGCTCGTCCTCGAGGCTGCATCCTGTCCTTGGCTGCCCTCCAGGGCTGCACGGGACACGATTTTCCCCTCAGCAAGCTCTGAGCAGCCGCACCTCGGCCCCGGTTTCAGAGCGGGTGGGAAGAGTCTGGGCGCTGGCATGAGGCCAGCCAACCTGGCTTTGAATCAAGCCTGGCTGCCCACCAGCACGTAGCCGTGGACACGTTACTTAGCCTGCATCTTCCCCGTGGGTTTCGGCACCCCGCCTTGCAGGACTGCTGTGAGGCTTTGAGCCCCTGTTCCCAAGGTGCCTCGTAGGCTGCTGGGTACAGGCAGGCTCTCAAAAAGCAGAGAGCGTCCTACAGTCACTCTCGTTATAATGACAGCTCACGTTTACCAAGGGCTTACTATGTGCCAGACACCATTCCATGTCCTCAATGATGACCCTTCACAACAATGTTATGAGGTAGGTCCTGTCATTATCCTTTCTTTTAGGTAAGGAAAACAAGGCATGGAGAGTGAAGGGACTTGCCTGTGGTCGCCAGGCAGTCAGCGACAGAGCCTAAATAATTATGCCATTGCCTCCTCAGGGTTCAGTGTTAGCCAGACGCAAGCGC